TGAGTGTGTGCGTGTGTGTGTGTGTGTGTGTGTGTGTGTGTGTGTATGTGCGTGTGTGTGTACGTGTGTGTATTCCAACCTATCCATTGTTTTTCCATTTTGCAGATACAACTCCTCCCTCTTTCAATAACACTTGTCCAAAGAACATGATGGTCTATACTTCTGAATGCTCATCCACTGCTCTAGTGGGTTGGAATGAACCAATTGCTGATGATAATTCTGGTCACATAATTGCTACTTTCCCTTCCATTCGACCATCAGCTCAATTGAGCATTGGTCTCTATCATATATTGTATTCAGCTTCAGACGCCGAAGGAAACAGAGCTAACTGCACCTTTGTGGTGCAAGTTGCAAGTATGTCATAGCAATGTAAAGAAGATTGAGTTTTTCATTTAAAAAATTGTGTATTATAAATGAACCTGTAGTGTTAGCCGTTACTCGTTACGAGGATCTAAATAGATTAGTGGGTTAAGCATGTTTCCAAATTAAGATTTGCACTACACATGTGATCCAAATTTTCATCTTTTTCGTAGATTTCCAAAAATGTTTGTATATTTGCTTATATTTGTAGCAGATAGTTTTCATTGTTATAGCGTTTTTTGTATACTTATCTTCTGAACTATTCTAAGCAAAATTTTTTCCAACTAGATTGATAGTCTCTCTTTTGAAATTAAACCACTCATTATAAAACTTCGATTTTCGTCAGTTTAAGTTAGAAAACGCTTTATCTTCACAGGGAAATATTGCATCAAACTGCAGCCACCATCACATGGAAATTTAAGCCTTTCCTGTGGCTTGTCGTTTGGTTCCCAGGCTAATTTTACTTGTGACAGGGGATACCAATTATTCGGATCTCGTGAGCGCTTTTGCAATGAAGACAGCTTCTGGTCAGGAAACATCACTACATGTAAAGGTAAGAATACCTGTATGTTATTTTTTGAGTCAGCCTCTCAATTCCTAATTATTTAGTTTTCCTCCCAGTGCAGTTATCCAACACCTTCATAGGAATTGAAATTGGCTCCGCAATTTAAAAGTCAGGCATTTGGAAATTATACGAAAAACCATTACCAACAAACATTACCCTTCCTTTTGGTTCGGAGTCAACTTGAAGATACACAGCATGAAAAAGGAGATTTACGCAACTTTACGCTGGTTTTATAACAGTCGTAAAGAGGCGTAAAGGTAGATTTACGTAATCGGACGTAAAGCTCTCAAATTGAAATTCTATCATTCTAACAATTTTAGGTAAGATCTGAGGGAATACAAGTCATACCTGTGTCTTGATACAACAGTTCCTCTGTAGATCACAGTTGCTTCTTTTTTTTTCACATTAGCCTAGTCCTAGTTCTATTTCTCATATTGCTTGCACTTCAGTACAGAGTCACTTTTATTAATCCTAACCTCTGTTGTTATTTAAATGAGCACGATATGAGTCAATTGTTATGTCTTTTAGCTGTTACGTGCTCTGCTCTCCCAAAACCATCCAATGGCTCACGGCTGGGCTGTGCAGGGACAACAATTGAATACTTCAATACAGTCTGTTCTTTTTTTTGCCATCCTGGGTACGACCCAATCGGCTCTGCTTCAAGAAAGTGCCTTGAAAACGGGACCTGGAGTGGCCAGGACTTTTTTTGCCAAGGTTCAAAAAATTAATGTCATTCATTATTCTAATTTCTACCTAGGACTATGAAAATCATTATAAGGATTTTCCATTTTGAATTAATTTAAGTTATATTATTACTGACTTCTAATTTTTTTAACTTTCGTCCTATTTGAACAGTCATAGCATGTCCAAATTTGACCGTCCCACCGAAAGGGATACTGCTGAACTCTCCTTGCGGCAACACGTATGGTTCAATTTGTGTATTTGGCTGTGAAAGTGGTTATGGGAGCCCTGGCGGAAATATCACAAGGACATGCCTAAGGAGCAGTATGTGGAGTGGAGATAACATCAACTGTACGGGTAATGACCCATAAAAAATTAATGGTTCTCTTATGAGAAACGACTGGCAGACAAATAAAAAAGCAAATAAAAGTAAACCGAAAAGACATCTCCATCATAACTGTGTAATTCCTTCAGCAAAGGGTTTCCAAGCGTCCACAATAAGCAGTGACCATACAACGGGCTAACATGTCCGTACCTCCATCATGTCTCCTTTTCAATTCCTTCTCTTTCCCCTTTTTTGATCATCTGTTTGTATTTTTTCTTTTTTCAACGTTTTACATAATGTGCAAGATATTCTTCCTCCAACATTTGATGCCCCGTGCCCAGCAAGTCCTTTGATAGCGTATGCAGAGCGTGAAAAGTTCTCCGCTGAGGTGAATTGGACGGTACCAACTGCCATTGACAACTCAGGACTCAAACCAGTAATAAACTCTAATTATCATCCACCAAGGATATTTCGCCAAGGAACTTACATAATTACATATTCTGCAGAAGACCAAGCAGGAAACAAAGCCACTTGCAGCTTCACGATAAAAGTAATAGGTAAAGTTTAATTTAGACAATTCGTTTCCCTTCGTGTCGTCAACGTGTTAAATGTGGACTTTACAACTAACTGGGCAGGAATTGTTGTCAGGAGGAACTACATTTCATTTTGTAATCCATCATTTTTATTGCTGTTGTTTTTCAGTCATCAATTGCACATTGCTGGTGGCAGACCCAGGCAGTCCCTTGCGCATGAGTAGTTGTGGTAATCATTATGGAGCGCGTTGTGAATTTTCTTGTGCCAATGGTTATCGTTTGAATGGTTCGTCAGATGTTACATGTGTTACCCCAGATGACAGACCTCCTGCCATCTGGGACAACCCGATACCTACCTGTCAAAGTAGGTGGCCTCTGACAAGATATTTCAGCTATTACGCATCGATTATGCAGTATGATGTTCCGTAAGGAACATCACCTGCTCTCACATCTAAATTTTTTTTTCATTGAAATTGCAAGTCAGAAGCTGGCTTGCCCGAGAAGTTGTTCGAGAAAACAGTGATGTATTAGGAAATACTCGCAACTAATTCAGATTAACATGTTTTTATATCATCAAGGTATTACATGTCCTACTCTTCCTCTACCCACAAACGGAGGTCAGAGGGGCTGCGAGGACACAGTGTCCGAACTTTATGACACACTCTGCAGTTTTTACTGTAACGATGGCTACAGTCTGGCGTGATCGTCTGTTAGGCGATGTTTAGAGAATGGGACATGGAGTGGAGAAACATTTCCTTACTGTGAAATTTTACGCATTTATTAGCAACATAGTGGTTTGCTGTATCGTTTTGTCTCATTTTTTGCTTGCATAGTTATTAGGTGTGGTCCTCTTGTTCCCCCAACCGATGTTTCAATTTCTCCATTGTCTTGCTCATCAATAAGTAACTATGGCCAGACCTGCCGCTTAACTTGCTCTCGACCGGGATACTCTCCAAATGGGACCTTATCGAGAACTTGTGGTAGAGATGGACAGTGGACAGGCTTAAACGACACACGTTGCCTGGGTAAGTTGCTGAGTTCCCTGGGTAAGGCATAATCGATTTTTTTCTTATTCATTAGATAGTTTATCTTTCATGCACTGCTTAAGCAACAAGTTTGGATAAAAATTAAGGGTTTCACTCACTTCATTTAATATCGCCGAAAAAAACTTCGTCCCAAATATTACATATTTGAATGCAAAACTTGACTACATTAGGTATTTTCACTTAAAAATAGCTTATTGCTGCAAAGATATGGTGTCAACTTTCTAATTTTCCTTATCGAAAAATATGCACGATTAATGCATATTTAAAAAAAACAACCGTTGAAAGAGTGTTTGGTAAACTACACAAAACTTCAGGGTGGCGCACGACATCTCTTATGTTCCTTTCTCCCCTTCCCTTTCTCCTTCTCCCATCGCACTCATCTTTGCACCAGGGTACACCAGTCTGAGACGATATAATCCCCCATTTTGCGACTTTTTATTCCAAACGCATTAACTCTTTTTCAATAAATCTACAACACACACACACACACACATAAATGTTTTACAACTATTCCAGGAGCGCGTAGCGCCGAGTTGGCCTTCATCATCTCATATCCAACAAGCGCGAGTGGAATAACTGTTTTATCAAAAACGCCCCCAATATATTAGAAAAATCTTACCAAATCTTATTTTTTTTAGCTCACTTTTAATCTTAATCTGACGGGTACGCTTACCACAATTGTAGATTATGGTATATTGGATAATATACCATAATGGTTAAGCCAATAAAAATTCTTGAACTGCGTACGTTATCCAATGATCTACGTTTTAATCCATATGTTTAAAAAAAACTACCGTTCAAAGGGATTTGGGTAAATTACAAAAACGTTTGGGTGGTGCACGACATTTCTTATGTTAATTCCTCCCTTTTGCCCCTCCCATTCATCTTGGTACCAGGGTTCACCAGTGATGTTGATGAAGGTTAACTATCACAACTGACGAAGGTCTCGGACCGAAACGTTTTTCACTAAACTTTTTAGTTTTTTTTATTGACGATATGTCTTCCTTCGCTCGAAGTTTTCCATCCTCGTGTTCCACATTACTTCTTATATATATATCAATTGAAGTGGCGTTTACCGTCAATTCCAGAAAAGTATATATGTATATATATAACAAGTTAAAAGACTTAGAGCCAACAGTGACGCCGCGCCAGAATGATCCAAAAGGATTCACAGTCCAAACATCTATAAATGGTGGAAGAAGTAGTGTGGCACACGAGGACGGACAACTTCGAGCGAAGGAAGACATATACTCAATAAAAAGTCTAAAAAGTTTAATAAAAAAAGTTTCGGTCCAAGACCTTTATCAGTTGTAATACAAGGACTTAAAATTTCCTTAAATAGATTTATATCAGGCCTGATGACACATATAAACAAGCACATTAATTACTACGCGAAAAATTATCACTATAAAAAAGAAATGGAAAAATTGTCGAATCCACTGAAAATGTAAGGAACCAGCCTTGATTTGAAAGGCGAGAATTTTATTAAAATTCCCAGTTAACGCTGAGACTGGAACCTTTGATGCCCGCCCAATTTGAAAAAACTCTCCGCATTAATTATAGTTTATTCTTTTTTTGGAGTGAAATTCCTGACGATTATTCAAGCCGAAGGGTGCCAGAGAAAACAGCTGTACGCTCCAATATGCTTTTTTGGTAATTAGAAGTCTCTCGATGTTCCCTGAATAGTTTACTGTTGCCTGCACTTGATCAATGCATTGGAATGAGAAATCGCTTAAATCATGTGGTGTTTTGTTAAAATGTACCGCTACATCACAGGTCTTTCTCTTAGTGACCATAGCAGACACACACACACACAAACACACACACATATATATA